TCATCATCATCATCATCATCATCATCATCATCATCATCATCATCATCATCATCCTCCTCCTCCTCCTCATCATCATCATCGTTGCCGTTGTCGCCATCGTCGATGTCATCAACATGGCCATCTTTACCATCGTCGTTTTCTTCATAACAATCATCAAACCCCCAGTAATGTAGATGCCCTCCTCTCCCCATGCAACGGCCACCCTTAATAGCCTTTTTTAAAAATCACCAGTAACAAACAAAAGGCCATTCGGGATTTACTGAAACAAAAAACTGATGTGAATGAATAAAAGAAAATAAACCCACCTCCGAGTTCTTTCTCTTTTTTTTATTCATTCGTTTATTTGTTTGTTTATTCCTTTATTCATTTATTCATTTATTCATTTATTCATTTATTCATTTATTCATTCATTTATTTATTTATTTATTTATTTATTATATCTGTGTTTTGCTCTCTTTGCGTAATGTTGACAAGTAATGTTCACTTCGATGAGATGAAAACAGATTCCATAAATTGTCGTACAAACGACATATTTTTGTGACAAAACTGGTAGCTAAAGATAATGTGTTCAAAACTATACCATTTTCACAGTGACAACATTGGCTGTAAAAGAAAAGTCCAGTGGGTTAAAAGTTACTTGCTTTGACAGTCATATATATATTTAATCGATCCAATATCTGCAAACAAGAGACGGTTATATTACATAGAGAAACATCCTGTGGAGGAAATGAAAAACAGAAGGATTTTCATGTTCTATTTAGAAAAGAGTCCTAGCTGTTTGATCATAATAATGATGCAGATAATTTTTAAAAAGCTCACTTCCTTATAACACAAGCCGAGGCACTTTACAATACATTCATCTTCACACAAAATACATGTGCCTGAATATGCATAATTTAAAAACACATTTTAGATCAACGCTAATGCGTAAACATATATTCATAATATCACTTAGAGAATAATATTTCGAAGAATAAAAAGTACTAACTATTAAGACAGCATTTCATTAAGTTTGTTTTAAACGAATTTCAAAGTTGGGGCTCTTAAATGTTGTGGAAGAGAGGTCAAGAAGTCAAGATATTTGGAGCTAGAAGAGAAAAGGACGTCCTACTGATTTATTTTTACTTCTTAACAAGGTGCGCTCATAGAACGTTTATGGAGGAAGGGCTCTTAAAATTCAGGTCAAGAAATAAAACTGAATCCACGTCATATCGTCGGCTGTGACGTTTTCGTTCATTTTCAGAGAAGGAATTTTGATGTACTCCTCATTTGCCCGACCAGGGAAAAGGGAGTGCCTCAGACCAAGCGGACTACATGTTGCGTTGCAGTCTTCCGGGAACCACCAGCCGACGCCATGTTTGCTGGCGCACTTGTTTTCTGTTGCTTCCTGGTCCCAGGCGGAAAAACGAAGACCTGCGATGTTCTCAAAACAGTTGTCCATGTGGTCGACTTCAGTCTCAATGTCCTGATGGCCTTGGCTGCCATTGCTATATGAGATTGGATAACCGTCACTGGGCGTTCCGATGACGAAATCATCGTAATCCCAATACTTATTAGATGAACTGCCTGTGTTATACAACACTTGAAGCCTGGTATTACTGTAACCTCTCTGATTGAGAGTTCTGGCATTGTCAAGGCCAATCCAGTAATTCTGTTTATCGATGTAATAACCATAGACGAAGTCATTAAACGTTCTGTTATTTGCAATATTCCCATTAGACCTGAAGATGAATGTGTGTGTTTGATCTCTTCTAGAGCAGATTACGTTAATTAGCTTCGAGTTGTCTCCATAGATGTCTAAGGTAACCTTCATGGCATAATCAATTTTGTGTTGGATGAGTTCGTCACATGTGTAAGGATATCTTTCGCAGACGCCGCCAGCCCAGTTGCCCACACATTGACAAGTACTTGCTCTCGGATCAAACAGGCCGCCGTTTTGACAAGGAGTTTGATCCTTTTTAAAGAAGACAAACTCGCTGGGGGCGAACTGATCACAGGTATCATGTGGACAACGTGTGTGAAGGTAGCACGTTCGAGTCTCCGTGTTCCATACGGCACCAATACAGACCGTGCTGTCACAAAATGATGTACATTCCATGAGAGAGCGCACAGCTGTGTGTGTCACTTCTTCCATACAGCCGTCAGAAAGCTTGACAGATACATCGCACAAGACTTCTTTAGTGTACAGGCCCTGTCCATCTATTGTCATGGCAGCTAATAGAAATACTGAAATATATACAAGTAAAGAGAAACAATACATTTCCGCAAATTAATAGTCAGGTATATTTAAAATATTCAGTAATGAACTCCCAAGAACGGATGCACCAATATTGTAGAAAGATTCTACTTTAAAGCCCCAAGACCTTCCGAAACATGCTTTATAACTGATGTAGGGAAAAGCTGTAACAAAGCTTATGTACGTGATGACGGCGATAGCAGCTTGGCGAACAAAAGAGGGGGTTGGATGATGCCTTGGTGGTTTATGGATTTTAGATTTTAATTAAGCATTTGCTCCAAGACAAAACAAGGACAGGTAAACACCCAGCTCAACAGTGCTCTCCATCTGTACATGGGCCTATTTAATTAACAATACTTCATGGTGGGTGTGTTTACCAAAATGGCTCGAGTT